AGATAGCTCAGTAGGGGCTGGGCAGATAGCTCAGTAGGGACTGGGGAGATAGCTCAGTAGGGGCTGGGCAGATAGCTCAGTAGGGGCTAAGTGCTTGCCTGACAAGCTCAAGGTCCTGAGTGCAACCCCCAGTACTGCAAAAAGACAAAAACAAAAACAAAAACAAAAAAAAAAAACCCTGGGCCAGGGAGATAGCTCTGCAGAATAAACACTTGTCTGGCAAGCTCAAGGGCCTGAGTTCAATCCCCAGTTCTGGGAAAAAAAAAAAAAAAAGTTGGCAAGAGAATGTTTGAATCCTGTGATTCATTTCAAAATACGCATTCTCTGCGATTTTGTCATGAATACATGCATTCAGCAACTCTAAAACAGAGGCTCTTTTTAAATCCTGGGGCCTACAAGTAGTCCTTTATGCTCCCAAGATATTCAGGTAATATCGAACTAAATAATCAACTAAAATGTTGACCTGATGATGCAGTTCTGAATACAAGTCCTGGGTTTAGCTTTGGTGTGAATGTGTCAGTTTTGTGAGAGAATTAGGAATCGGTCCCAAGAGCTGCATCGCTATAATTTACTTACGTTAAAATGATTAGAGTGACATCGAACTCTGATAAAATATAATCTGGAATGCAAACATTTATTAGAATAAAAATGCACATACAGTATCCAACATTAAAATTACTTCGCAAGTTTCCTCTATTAGTTTTTTTCAAATGCTTTTAACCTCTGTGCTTTAAATAAGTTGCACATCTGTAAACAAATCTGAGATTACTGAAGATGTAATGTAACTATGAGATGCTGAACATTAAAATTTAGGAACAGGACTAACAGTTATATCCTATTACACTAAACATTTCTGTAAATTTCTGGAAAAAGAGGAACAGATTCAAATAGCTCTCCTGAATTGAGGTAAGTTCTATGACGTGGCTTTAGTAGCATATTTCACTAACGTTGAAAAGAAAATATTAAAAAACATTCATGAAAAACTCATGTGAATGTTTGAGTCATCTAGCTTATTTTTTTTTTTTTAGAAAAACTACTCAACTTCCTTATTAGAAAATGAAAATTATCTGGTTTTACTTAGAAGCTGTGTAAATCCTAAGTCTTCCTCTCCTTTAGAAAAAATGAAGTAATACAAACTCTTACAAGCTTACTAAAAAGGAAAAATACAACGAAGATTAGAACCAGTATTCCAAGCTGCCTTATGGAAAGAGAAGTACAAACAGAGGTAGATGGTTAAATATTAGTGGCCAAGCTACTCGGGTGACTAATTCTTGTCTTGGTACACATTCACCAAGCGTTTACACTGGAAGCCAAAGAGTAAATGACTTTAGGAGAAGAAAGAGACGCACAGCAGAAGTTATTTTCCTTGTGTCCAAGGAAAGGAATGAAAGTGAACCAGGTTTGAGACCCCTGTGAAGGATACGATTGTTCCAAGCACTGCAGGTCACGCACTGGGCAGAACAGGCGCAGGGACCAGCCCTACACCCAGCCCTGGGGCGCCCGCCTGTCAGTCCAAGTAGGACTGAAGCGAGCCTCGGCGGCGGATGTCGCAGGTCCAGCAGTGGAAGCCTCCTCCCAGGGAATTGGCGTGACGGATGCTGACCTTAATGGTGCTGATCCCTGCATTGAAAAAGGAGGCCGGGGTCAGGCAGGTGGCCCACATGGAGCCGTTCTGCCCGGTGGAAGCCTAACGGTGCTGAGGAATCTGCTTCTGATCCTCCTGGCCAGCCCAACCCAGAGCGGTCTTTTCACCAGCTGTCTTTTTTTTTTTTTTTTTTTTTTTTTTTTTTTTTTTTTGGGATTGAGCTCAGGCCCTTGCACTTGCCAGGCAAGCTCTTATTCTACTGAGCCATTTCCCCAGCCCCATCACCAGCTTACCTTTTAGAGCTTTCTTTAGTTTGGTTTTTGATTTTTGGTGTTTTTTGAGACAAGATATCACTGTATAGTTCAGGTTACCTCTGATATTTTTGGGTTTTGAGGGAGTTTTTTTTTGGCGGAACCAGGGATTGAGCTCAGGGCCTGGTGCTTGCCAGGGAAGCGCTAATTCCACTGAGCCGTCTCCCCGGCTCCAGCTTATCTTTTATCTCATTTGTTTTGGTGCTAATGAAAAAATCTCCCAAAAGTCAGCGGACTCTGAAGTTTGTTCTATGGACTATTTACAAGTCAACTGACTAGATGAGCAGATATTCCTGACAAATGTCCAAAAGTGACCACTCATACCACCTCAGGGCCTTCTAGAATCAGGCGTCCCCTTGTCTGACTGTTTCTAGTTTTACTGTGGTGGTGATCTAGAATAAGTATATTTAGCCAACCTGAAAAATGCACTTTACCTAGCCACACACAAAGAAGGGAATGAATCTGGTACAGGTGAACTCTGCCAGGCACACTAAGGAAACAACAGAAAAGAGCTCCGCCTCAGCGGGGGCTGGAGGGCTGTGGGCACCTTAGCCTGCTACTGCAGTTGGCGCCGTCTGCGGGGACACACGGAGCTGTGCGTGGTCTACTTAATCAGCGTATTCGGGGGAATCCTTGGGTTAGACGTAGTGGGGATTGTTACAAGGCAGTTTATTCTCTTCCCTCGTTATTCTGAGAGGACACAGGAGCGACAGGATCAAGAGCGCAGGTGAGTGAGGGAGAAATGAGGCCCGAGTCTACGAAGAGCTCTGAAGAATCAGTGAGGGCGGCTCAGCACAGGGGAGGCAGGGTGTGGGAGGAGGGGCGTTTCGTTTGTTTCTGAGACAGAGTCTCACTATGTAGCCCAGGCTGGCCTTGAACTCAAAGCGACCCTCCTGCCTCACTCAGCCTCCCAAGTGGTGGGACTACAGGGGTGCACATCATGCCCCGCTGGGGTTTAAGCGTGCGCGTGTGTGTCCTCTGGAATGATCTGCCTGTCCTACTCCAAGGGCCACAGCTGTACCTATCCTGAATTGGCGGGGACTCAGGAACTTGGTATATTTGCTTTACCAAGTTTCCTGTTTAAAAAAAAAAAAAAAGAAAAGAAAAAAGAAAAAAGAAAAAAAAAATTCCTGTTTCTCTCTATACAGACTTTAATTACTACATGTCAAAGTAGAAGTCAGATATTTGGGGATGTATGCTATTTTACATTATGAAATAAAAACAAAATCCTAATAGACAAATAAACTGAACTCAAGCAATTTTATTAATCAATGAAAGCCAGAGGAGAGAGAGAAAAAAAAAAAAAAAACCCAAAACAAAACAAAACAAAAAAACTATGGTATGGCATTAGGGATCAAATCTAATGCTGTTCCACCTAAAACTGATAGGCCGGGCTGGGAACGTGGCTCAGTGGTAGCCCTCTCACCTGGCACGCCCAAGGCCCTGGGTTTGACACCCAGCATGTCTCTCTCTCTCTCTCTCTCTCTCTCTCTCTCTCTCTCTCTCACACACACACACACACACACACACACACACACACACACACACCCCGCTCAGCATATATAACCAAAGCATAAGCACCAGCACAGACAGATAAGTCTGTTCTTCGGGGGCTGGAATAGTAACTGGAACCACTGACTTTCAGACCTGTCTACCAATCAAGTTTGATATTTGGGCCGGGGATAGAGCTCAGCGGTGCAGCATCTGTCTAGCAGGCATGAGGTTCTGAGTTCAATTCCTGGTGCCAAAAATAAATAAAACTGAGGGGCCAATCTTTTCAAACTACTATACTAAGGAGGGATGTGGTAAAGGGGCAGATACTTTCTTTCGAGTTATATACCTGAAATATAAGACAGTTTTTAAAAATGACTCAGTGTCAACAAATACACTGTCTGGCTATTACAAATTGACACTCAGGGTATGCCAAACATGTCAAGAATGGTACTCTACACAATAGCTTATATGAAAATCCTCTCCTTCAACATTTTTCTCAAAAGTACTAAGAACTAAGTGCCTCTAGAAGGAATAGAAATTGAATGAAGTTAAGCACTTATCAGAAGTGCTGGAATTTCTTTTGTTCTTCTAGTGCAACATTTTCGGGCGCCTGCCCTTTAGCTCAGTTGTTTAAGTGCCTGCTTAGGCAAAGGCAGTCAGGCTCAGGATGCTGTGGTTCCATCCCCAGATCCTCATGCCTTACCAGACCTGCCCTTAAGGCATCCTGAGCCAGCTAAAATACAAAAAAACAAACAAAAAAATTTTTTTTACATAGCACAGTGCACTGCACTACTTGTACCTACCCAGTTTCTCAAACATCTTTTGAGTTGGGACTTCGTTGGCGTCCACCATGACACGCTTCTCATCTAGCATTAGGACGTTCATGGAAAGCCATTTGGATGACATCCAGAGCGGGTGATCTGTAAGACACCAACAGCTGTTGAACTCACCTGCTGCCGCTTCTGCTCAAAGCCAGGATTTACAAGGAAGGCTATGAACCCAATAGCTCAACTTTTTGGTAGCTCGGTTTCCAAAAACAACGTATCTAGAAATGTTCCAGGTCAGCCACACCCATCACACCTTGGGATGTCATATCTTGCTTTATGCGAGCTTGTTTTTGTTGTCTCACTTTCATTTTCTAAGGAAGGAGAAACGGCAAACGCGAGCCCCAGCCTTGTGCTGGAATTCACAGCCACCACTTCTTACTGGGGAAGCATGTTTGCTAACTGGGTGAGACGCAGGCTGCTCTCTGTAGGTGAAAGATCCTCCTAAGTATTTAAAAGTAAACCTACCATCAGGGATGGTCGGTGTTGGAGGAGTCACTATGGTCCATCCTGCTTTCTTGAAAAGATCAATCTGCAAGACAAAAACAACCAAAGCGGGCTTAAATCCCCACTTGCTGCTTTCATTCTGCTAGGGCAGTGGCTCCCATCTACCCTGAAGAGCAGAGCCGCCTGAGGGTCGCCTGACCCACTGCCAAGACCAGGCAGGGCTGTCTGTTTCAGCTGCAGTTGTCAATTATGAGATGTACCATTTTATTCAACAGCAATACCCTCCTGTGGACAAACTCTGTTTGACAACACTGTTTTACAACACCAAGCAGTGAAGTCACTGTCCGAGGACACTATACAAACCATCACTGCGACAGTATCTATTTCTGGGTGTCAGACATTGGGGTGTCAAACCCTCCATTAGCAACCCAATGCTTGACCATAACACTGACACACACTGCTCAGTCTGTCATTTACAATCACTAGCAGCCACAGAAGGGCTTAAAACAAAGTGGAAATTGCTTTAGCTGCTAGGCTCCATCACTTTCCCGCCACCCCAAGAGCTCTTCTTACCTGGTGACATGGTCGGTCAGGGTTGGAAAGCACAAGTCCAGGCCCAATGATGTTGAAGGTGGCGTCAATGTGCATCGGGTTGGGGTCTTTAAAGGAAATGATATGGACTCTGTAGTCCGGAGCAAGATGCCTACGCATCCATTCAATGCCCAGGTAATTTGTCACCTGAAGATAAAAAGAAGAGATAAAACCTACAGGGAGGGGCTGGTGAGATGGCTCAGTGGTCTAGGGCACCTACTTGGAGCAGGCTTAGCACAGCACAGGGACCACGGTTCCGTCCCCCAGCACCACATGCCAGCTAGCCGCGCCCCCTGGTGGGCTGA